CTCCAGCTTTGGACCAGCCCAGCCCCAGCCCCAGCCCCAGCCATTGCAGCCATTTGGAAAGGGAACCAGCAGGTAGAAGGTCCCTCCCTCCCTCTCTCTCTCTCTCTGTAACTACGCCTTTCAAATAACTAAATAAATCTTTTTCTTAAAAAAAGGGAGCAACAGCACAGGAAGCGTTGACTCCCAAGCTTTCCAACTCCACTGGAAACTGTAAAAGCCCCCAGTAGGGACAACCGTCTTGAAAGTCACTTTTAGGCAAGAGTAAGAGCAAGGCAAGGCACAGTTTGGGAGAATTTTCAACACTTGGCTTGAAAACCAAGAGCCAGGCCTGTAGGAAGCGGCCACAATGTTTGGGCAGAAACAAAACATCAGGAAGAGTTCACTGTGACATCAGAGGGGGAAGACCCCCTGACTGCGCAGATGGTGGAGGGTGGAGTCCCAGGGCGGGGAGGACAAGGAGCCCGAGCTCTGGACGAGCAGGCCCAGGCTTTCCAGGAGACAGCGGAGGGTGGCCTCCCCCGGGGCCTGCGTATCGACCACCTTGGGTGGGGGGGGCAGCTGGCTGAGAACAGACCCCCGAAGACGAGCTGAGGCAGAAACAGGACACGGGGCCTCCCTACGGCAGCTCTGGGTGGGCGGGGCACAGGGTCAGCTGTGCATGAGGAAAGAGGACTTCCTGTGCCCCCAGATTTAACTGAAACCCAGCAGGAGGGGCAGAGGAGCCAGGGAAGGGAGGGGCGTCCAGGACCGGGCCCACGGAAACAGGGAGTGTCGGACTCAGAGACCGCATGTGTCCTCTGCACCAGCCAGCACCAGCACCAGGCCGCCTCCCTCAGCTCAGGAGGGGCGTCCAGGACTGGGCCCACGGAAACGGGAGTGTAGGACGCAGACCGCGCGTGTCCTCTGCACCAGGACCAGGACCAGGACCAGGCCGCCTCCCTCAGCTCAGGAGTGGATGCAGGAGGCAGCGGAAGCCAGCACCCAAGTGTAGTCCTGAAGGGCGCTCTCCCGGCCACGCTGGATTGGCCCGGGGAGGATCATGTGACCCATGCAGGGGTCTCCAGTGCCAGAGTCCCAGCCTAGGGTTACACGGATCAGATGCGCTTGGCTGCCTACACCAGCAACTCCCCAAGAAACACCGGGTGAGCCTGACTGAAGTCCATGCCGACACGGGTCTTCCAGGAGCAACAGAGAACTGCCGACTATGACAGAAACTCTGCGTGGACTTCAAGCTCTGCCGGCACTGGGGTGAACGCACCTTTTCATCCTGTGTTCCATTATCTTTCAACAATTCTCACGTATTGCTGTATTTTAATGCTGAAATATGAAACGGTCCCCCGAAATTTCAGAGCAGTGCTCCCGCGTGCTCCCGAGCCTCCAGTGGCCAGCTTTGCGGCAGCCGCCCAGGCTATTAATAGTCTGGCCCCTTCTGCTCCGGCTCCTGCCTCCTCCCCTCACCGCTTCATGGTCCCCTCAGGAATGGGCCTGGGCCAGATGGCCTTCAGCCCAATTTCCTGTAAATATCCATTTTTAATGAAAATAATTAAAAATACTAATTTGCTGTAACCAAGGCCATTTCTACAGAGACCTCTTGGTGCTTCACAAATACTAATTAAGCCTAAGACATGTAAGTTGCTTTTTTGACCAAATGCTTCAGGGTTTGTCCCCAAAGCTGTTTGCAACGGTTCGTGGACATCAGCATCAGAGGCAGGAGTGGCAGCCTCTGGCTTCCATCAGGACGGTCCCGGACCCTGGATGAAGGCAGCCTGTGTGACCGCACTCAGGGCCATGGTGCCATCGGGAGGGGTTGCCGCTTGCTGAGCCTCTTTTCCAGCTGAGATGGCTTGTGGCGGGGGCCACGCAGGCTGGCCCGTTCTCCCGCCTTTGGCTCCAGAGAAAATGATGGGCCCAGCAGCTGAGAGCAGAGTTTTGCAAATGGAAGGGCAAACTCATTAACGAGGTTTTTAACCCAGGGTCCCCAGAGGGTCTGGACAGAGGATTCAGTATGAATCCTCTGTGAGCTTGGAAGGCAGAAACCGGCATCTTTATTTTCACCAAATTTGGCATTTCCGCTAACTACAAATGCCACAGTGGTAGCAGCAGTGCTTATGACCACTGCCAACAGCAATCAGAGATTTTCCTGGCACCTCAGGACCCACTGCCATCCTGAAATACTGTCCATGCATGCTGCCGCTCTGTGGTTTTGGGGGCTTTTTCCTGATTTCATCAACTGGCCCACAAGATTAATCTCTCATACATTAAAATATTCTATAACTATTTCAGTGTTTTCCCTCACAGTCCTTTATGAAGGAAAATGGAACATTTTCCCAGGATAGACCATCACATGAGAAACAAAGTGTCCACAAATTTAAAGAGACTTCAACCAAACAAAGTGTCTTCTTCAATGGCAACAGGGCGAAGCTTAATCAGTAACAGGACAACTAGAACATTCACAAGCATCTGGGAATTAAGCCACATGTTCTCAATCAGAAAAGCAGTCACAACGGAAACGAGAAGATGCTCAGAGAAAAATGAAAGTGAGGCTGCAGCACTGGCAGACCCGCCGGGATGCAGCAAACGCAGCTGTAACTGCCAATATTAACAAGACAGGCATCGCACGTTACTAACTCAAAGTCATCCCGCACGGAACTATAAAAGAGCAAACTAGGGCCAACAGGAGCAGGAGCAAAGAAGCAATAGAGATCTGAATGGAGACAGAACAATGAATGGAAACACAATCCCTGCCACCACAAGTTAGTCTCTGAAAAGATCAACAAACTGAGAAACCTAAGAAAAATTGGGAAAAGATGCAGACAACTAAGATCACAGGAAGGCGGGGCATCGCCTTCCAGAAATAAACCACCCGTAAACAACTGTGCGCCAACAAATTATGTAACCTGGGAAGCACAGAATTCCTACAACGCACACTTGGCAAAACTGATTCAAGAAGAAAAAAAAAAAATGGGAACACGCCTATAATAAGAAATCTAATCAAAGATTGAATTAAAAAACTCACATGGAAAAGTCCGGCACCAGACTTCACTGGTGAATTCTGCCAACCACACGAACACAGAACAGCGTCAGCCTTCCTCAAACTGCCCCAAAGGAACGGGCTGGGAAGGGGCGTCTTCCGCCTCATTTCTGAGGCCGTTGTTACCCTGATGCCACAGCCAGACAGGGATACCACGAGTGAACAACCACAAGCCAAATCCCTTCCAAATCACAAGCAAATTCGGCAAAGTTGCAGGATATAAGGTCAGCACACTATGCAGTTATATTTTATACACCTGCCACAAATAATCCAAAAAGTAAACCAGGAAAATAACTCATCCATAGTAGCATACAAAAGAATCAAATAATCAGAATAAATTTAACTAAGGACCAACACTTATACACTGAAAACTCTAAGACGATGCTGAAGGAAATTTTAAAAGACCCAACCAAACAAATGGGCAGACACTCTGTGTTTACGGTTTTGCCAGGATGGGAATTCTCCCCAGGGCGAGCGACCAGCAGAGCCAGTGCAATCTTCTCACACTCCGCCTGATTCGTACGCTCCTATGGAATCGCAAGCCTAACCAACAGCACTGGAGAACCCCCACTCATGACGACAAGACTTACGACAAAAGTACGGGAATCAAAACAGCATGGTACTGGCATGAGGATAAACACACAGACGAGTGAAACAGAACTGAGGCCAGAAGTTAGCCCACGCCTCCACGGCTACCTGATTTCCGACAAAGCTGCCGAGTCTGTGCCAAGGGGAAGAGCAGTCTTTACAAAGCACAGTGCTCAGACACCACATGTCCACGTGCAAGGGGCCAAGCCTGACCCTTCCCTCTGCACACGCAAATTCGAAGTCAAAGGAACCTAGGTAAGGAGCTAGAGCCACAAACGTTTATGAAAGCGTTTGTAGCATCAAAAAACACTATATATTGCCAAGAAATTGAGAGACAATGCACAGGATGGGAACAAATATTTGCAAGTCACTTATCTGACAAGGTTTGGCCACTAGAAAATAAAACGTACTTACAACTTGGTAACAAAAAGAAAAACAACCCAATTAAACAATGAACACAGGTCTCAAGCAGATATTTCTTCAAAGAAAATATCAAAACGGGGGCTGGCGTTTGGCTCGGCAGTTGCGGCACCCTTGGGACGGCCATACCCCGGTATCAGAGCCCTTGGCTGAGTCCTCCCTTGACCCGCAATTCAGCTGCCTACTATGAGCACCCTGCCAGGCAGCAGTGACGGCTCAGGCATTCGGGTCCCTGCCACCCACGTGGACAACTCAGATTAAGTTCCTAGCTATGGCCTGAGTCAACTGATGGAAGATGTCTCTCTGTCTCTCTCTCTCTGCCTTTCATATAAAAAGTAAACTTTAAAAAAGAAAATATACAAGTAACCAGCAGACACATGAAAAGATGTTCGGTATCATTAGATGACCAGGAAATGCAAATCAAAGCCACAGTTAGACACCTCTTACACAGTGACTATGGCTATTAAAATATTTTTAAGATACAAGAAGTATTGGCAAAAACGTGAAGAATTTTGAGCCCTCATACATTACTGATAGAGATGGAAAAGTTTGGTGAATGCTCAGAAAGTTAAACACAGACTTGCCACGTGTCTCAGCCACTGCACTCCCGATGCACGGCCAAGCCAACTGCAAAGATGCGTGTGCACACGTGGTCACGGTGGCACCACCCACAACACCCAACAGGCAGAAACACCCCAGTGACCAGTGCATGGTGGCACCTACACATGGAGGAATGTTATCCAGCCATGAAAGGACTGAGTACTGAATAGTGAAGGCAAAAGTAACAGAAGCCAGGCACGAAAGGCCCTGTGTTGTGCGACATCTTTTGTGTGAAACACCCAAATCCACAGAGAAAGAAAACAGACTGGGGGCCGGGCGGGGCAGGGCCGTGGGGAGCAGGGGCATTCACGGTGGCTTCCCCCCTCCGCCTGTGGCTCTCCCAGCTTCCCGCCCTGTGCACCTTCTGCACGTGCCGTGGCTGTGCCCATTCCTGACGCCGAGAACACCTCTGATTGGCTGCTCACCAACTGCTGGACCAGGGAACATTCCAGAACTTCTTGCTCCTTCAGAAAACAGAGACAAAGAGAGCACCACTCAGCATCAGCCTTGTTCTCCTATTCCCAACCGCTTGGCAGACACTCCAACTAACCATTTCTTCCTGAATCACCTTCTATCACTGCGTGGCAGGTTTATCTACGCACGTTTCATCCAATTTCATCTAAGCACCAGAAATCCACTTCATCAACACACTAAAATCTTACTTTCATCTTTATCTCACTCTTTTTTTTCCATTTAAATTTTTTTTTTTACTTTTGAATACTTTAAAATCTCAAAACTGTGAGGTACTGAATCAGGATAACTTCCTACCACCCTCACAAGGATCAGCTCGTGGATCTGCTGCTGAATTCCCATCTCCCAGGGTGGGGGAGCCAGGCCCCGTGGCATGCATGCACAGAGATGACATCGCCTGGTCGTCAGTGCATCTCGTCACTGTCACTCTCCCCCACTGGTCACCGCCCTGATTTTAGGTTTGAGCAACACCAAGCCCCAGCACACCCCCTGCAGACGACTCTCGTTCTTTGCTCGGTGCCTCTGGTCACGTTTTCTCCCCGGCTGGGATAACGCAGGTCTTCCTGCTGACAACCTCATCTTCCCTGGCTGCCGTAGAGAAACCCCACACGCTGGGCGGCTCCGACAGCAGAAACCCATTTTCTCGGTGTCCTGGAGGTCACAGGCTCAGACCGTGGCGCTGCCAGTATGGCTCCTGGTGAAGGCTCTCTTCCCACCCTGTAGAAAGCCACCTCTGCCTGCGTCCTCATACAGCCTCTCCCCTGTGCAGCCACTCAGGACACAGAGAGACAGAGGGCCAGCGCGCTGTGGAGTCTCCTCTTACAGAGACATAAATCCTATTGGGTCAGGGACCCCATCCTTAGAACCTCACTTAATCCCAATTACTTCCTTAATGGCCCTATCTCCAAATAGAGTCACACTGGCAATAAGTCTTCAACACATGAATTCTGGGGACAACTCATTCCCCAACCTCCCTCCAACCAGCTCCTGCATCCTGTTCCTGTGGCAAACAGCCTACGCAGTGACGCTCTGTCGTGTACATGACAGTGGTCACGAAGGATGAGAAAGGAGCCAAACATTCCCATGGCCTAGAGATACCAGGTCCATCAGAAGACCATGGGGTGAGGCATCACTCGTGGGTTGTGGTGCACTTATGTAGGTGCACAGCACACACAACTGTGTAAAGAACATAACACTTGGTGATAAACACCCATTACTAGACTACGTATTTACCACAACGTATTTTATCATTATTGTAGGAATATTCCTATTTATTAAAAAAGCTTACTTGGGGTCAGTGTTGTGACCCAGGGCACTTAACTGAGGCCTGTGACCCTGGCATCTCCTTTGGGAGTCCTGGTTTGAGTCCCGGCTGCTCCGCTCCTGACCCAGCTCCCTGCCAATGTGCCTCGGAAGGCAGCAGAAGATGGTCCAAGTGCTTGGGGCCCTGCACCCACATAGGAGACCTGGACAGAGTTCTGGGCCCCCAGCTTCAGAATAGCCCAACCCCAGCCACTGTGGCCATCTGGGGAGTAAACCAGTGGATGGAAGCTAGCTCACTCACTCTCACAACTCCAGTAACACAGCAACTTCCTGCATAATAATCTGTTTTTTTATTTCACCAACGTCAGCCCCAGCATCTATTCCAGTCTCTTGCATGTAATAGGTCCTAATTAAGTGAGTCTTGATTTTTTTAAAGGAACAACTGAGCAGACATCCCAAGATGTTATATTTTGACACTGTTTTTTTTGTTTGTTTTTAAGCTTTGGGGAGAGATCACTGACATGAATGAAGAGCGAAATTCGACAGAGTTTGCAGTTTCAATGTCGTCACCATGCATCAACATAACTGAAATCAGCGGACAGAGAGAGTTTGGGGCCAGGCAGATCCCCCAAGGACCTGAAGGGACGTCAACAGGGTGTTAAATGGTTTTCCAACTTGATCTCAATGACCTGTTTACTCTCTACTTTTCACATGCACACAACAATAGAAACAAGAACTCAGCACAGGGGTATAACACCACTGAAGAGAAAGTCGACCGGGCAGGAGATCAGGAGAAGCCATCGAGGAGGAGGCGTGGAGAGACAGACTAGGAGATGCTGACGGAGGGGCCGAGCTGCGGGGAAAGGCCCCGTGTAGCCTCCGTCCACGCTGAGTCCCCAGGGCGGAGGAGGCGCCTGAGGCAGGAGCAATGCTTGAAGAGAACGGACACTTGAACTCAGGTTGGTGAAATAAAACAGTGCCAGTGAGCGGGCTTTACAGAGCTGCTGTAGGCGGAGCGACAGCAAATTCACACCCAGATGCATCACAGACGAGATAGCAAGAGAAACGCAACCCCAGCTGAGACGCAGATTAACGTACAGCAGCAGACGAGAGCGGACTTATCAACGGCTATCTTAGCAGCCAGGAGCGATGATACATAGTTCTTCAAGAAAGCACACTTGGGAATTAAATTGAATTCATTTGCCAAATGCCATAAAAGCCTTTCCACAAAGAAACCTGCATGATCCTATGTCTTTTCTACTAACTCTGGCAAAAGCATTTTTAAAGTCAAATGCTATACAAAATTTCCAGAGAGCAGAAGAAGGGTGATGTACTTCTTTATTTATGAGACCAGCATAACCATATCAGAACCCAACAAAGGGGCCGGTGCTGTGGTTCAGGGGGCTAAAGCCCCAGCCTGCAGCACCAGCATCCCATATGGGCGCCGGTTCAAGTCCTGGCTGCCTGACTTTTCATTCAGCTCACTGCCAATGTGCCTGGGAAAGCAGCAGAAGATGGCCCAAGTCCTTGGGCCCCTGCAGACCCGGTAGAAGCTTCTAGCTCCTGGCTGTGGATGGCTCAGCTCCGGCTATTGTGGCCATTTGGGGAATGAACCAGTGGATGGAAGACCTCTCTTTCTGTCTCTACCTCTCTCTGAAACTCTGTCTTTCAAATAAAGAAAATAAATCTTTTTTTTTTTTTAAAGAACGCAACAGAAGCAGGACAAAAAGACACAAATACAGGCCAGACTCAGCCATGATCACAGATGCAGGCAAGCTTCACAAAGTTAATGTAACATTTGTAAATCTTTATACTTTAGTTCAACTGGCATAAGGGTGCATAAATCAAAAATTGTTAGAAATAAAAGAACAGCCCTGTCTACACTCCCGTGGAACAGTGTTCTTTCTACCTTCCACTGTTGAATTCTTTCTTCAATGGAAGATGGGGCCTGTGACTATAAAGCACATTGAAAACGTGTTACTGTAAAAATGAAAAGAAAAAGACGAGGGAAGGAAGGAGGAGGGAGGGCGGAAGTAACACAGTGTGCTTACACTTGTATATATGAAATCTCTTCTCTATATAATCAAGAAGTGAATCTCAGGGAAACCACTTAGACTGCAAACAAAAATATATGATTGCTTTAATCATTGGAAATACCCGTCATAAAGAAGACACTGATAATACAAATTATCTGGCTTGATTACAAAGAGAAATAAAATGTGCTGTACACATTCTTGAAGCCTTAAGATTTATTTATTTATTTATTGGAAAGGCAGAGTTAGAGAGGAGAGAAAGAGAGAGAGTGATCTTCCATTCACTGGTTCACTCCCCAAATGGCTCCAACAGCCAGGGCTGGACAGGTAAAAGTCAGGGGCCTGGCACTCTATTGAAGTCTCCCAGGTGGGTGGCAGGGGCACAAGGACTTGGGTCATCTTTCAGTGCTTTCCCAGGTGCATTAGCAGGAAAATGGATTGGAAGTGGTGCAGCCAGGACTTGAACCAGCACCTATATGGGATGCCACCATCTCAGACTGGGGCTTAACCCACTGCAATATAATGCCAGTCTCTCTGAAACATTTACACAATAAAAACCTACAGAACAGAGTGTGCTCCATCACATGGGAACTTCAACACATTCTGAGACACACACTCCTAGATCCTTTTATTCTTTGATAAAACTCAACCAAAGTAAAATGAAATCCCCTGCCCCAGCCTACAGGGCTTGGTTAGGATTTGTGAAAGAAGAAAGAAGGGAATTAGAAGCAAATCTCCCTATCACCTACAGGAACAAAGAGCTGAGTTTTCAAATGATACTGGGTGATAGACTGACACAGCAAAGGAACGCCGAGCAAGTGTGTCAAAGCACTGTCACACAGGTGTGCAACTGGCAACACAGACATGCAGACATGGTGGGGGGGGGGGGCTCTCGTAAAAGCATCTATACAGAAAGTTCTCTTCAAGTGAGTGTGAGGGGCAGGCATTCCGCCTAGTGGTCACCACATCCCAGCCCCTGTTTGAGCCCTGACCACTCCATTCCAGCTTCCTCTTCATGTGCACCCTGGGAGGTGGTGGTGATGACCGAGGTGGCTGTGTCCCTGCCACCAACGTGAGAGATTGGGTTGTGTTTCCAGCTCTTGGATCAGCCTGACCCAGCCCCACTGCTGCAGGCATTTGGGGAGTGAATCAGTAGATGGGAATACACTTGCTATCTCTCTCTCTCTCTTTCTATGTATCTTTCTTTCTCTGTCTCTCTCTCAAATAAATAAAATAAATTTTTTAAAGTAAAAATGAGTAGCATGTTAAAATTGTGCCACTGAAATTAAGTAAAGCATATCAGTAGGAAGTTTTCCCAAAAAATCATACTTAGTCATTTATGAAGCAGTATAAAACCTTAATTGACAACAGAAAAAGAAAAGAAAATGAAGACACTCAGAACCCTGATCACAGACTGGTGATTTAAACTTCACTCCAGTCTTCAAGGAAATGCTTCATTATTTAACTGTTTTATAACAAGCATAAACTTAAAAGTTACTTACTTTTAAATCTAGAAGAACCCTCATTCCCAAATCCTACAAGGATATGGGGGGAGGAGGGGCATGATGGGAGAGAGAGAGAGGGAGAAGGAGAGAAGAGAGGGAGAGAGGGTCCCAAGGTTAGGTTCAACAGGACAATATGCGACAATATTCTACAAGGTCTTATTAGATAAGAGTCTGCAGCGGGGAGGGGGGTGG